CCCCAAAACCCCAAAACCCCAAAACCCCAAAACCCCTTAAACTCTATTCGCTTTGAATACAATAATATTTGGAAACAAATAAAATGTCTATCTATTCATTCCTGGTACACACTCGATCTGGTGCATTGATCTCAGTAATAGTGCTACTTGTCTCCTTAATTCATCAAACTGTCCACCACTAAGAGTCATTTTGACTTTCTCTCCGTCTTCAAGTTGGATTTCAATGACTACTTCAGGCATCATTACTCTATGAAGTTTGGAATGGGAGAGGATATAGTTAACCTTCCACTGTCAATATTCATATTAGAAATGCCTTGATGGTTGGGAGAGTATATTTCACTAATAATCACCATGAAAATAAAATAATTATATTGAAGGCATTCTCTAGCGTTCATTCTAAGTGTACTATTAGGTCAAGGTCCCTTCCAATTATCCCAGTTCTCTTTAACTCATTTTTAGGCAAAATTTTCAGTCTCATCTTTCAAGCAGCGCAAATATCTTTTTATTTTCTAAGATCATTTTGTAGCAATGTCAACACTCTTAATCTTCTGTGGAATTATCCCTTTGAGATAATTCTTTAATGATGCTTGAATGCAGTTTATCACACTCATCTCCTAATTCACATCTTCATACGAGAAAGTTTAAACAAGGCTGTTTTTCTTGATGCTCTGGAGATGGAGCTTGAGTTTTTACTGATTTACTTTTGGGCTTCTCTCCTTCTCACTGAAAAGCTTCTTTTGATAAACTTTTTAAACATTTCCATAGAATGTAAGATGCCCAGTGTTTCTTAAGTTTAGGATCAACAATATCTTGAATATATATTTTGGTTTTTGTCATTCTGATATCAGCATTTAGAGAAATTGTACCAGTATATTGAGAAGCACCTGGAACATAAGGTAAGAGTTTAGATAATTTCAGAAGCACTATCCCTAGTTTCCATTCCTCAGCTTTGAGATCTATGGTTAACTTTGGTTTTCTTTGTCACTTAATTCTGACTTACCCATTTGGGAGATCGATTATCAATATTAGCTATAAATATCGGGGTTTTGGGGTTTTGGGGTTTTGGGG